ACAATACATTAAAAAATAAAAGAACATATATCATTCTTACCCAAATTTAAATACATTGTCAAAAAAAAAAAACATTAATTTGGGCGAACAAACTCCCCATCCTCTATAAAATTTTTTTTTTTTTTTTTTTTTTTTTTTTTTTTTTTTTTTTTTTTTTTTTTTTTTTTTTTTTTTTTTTTTTGTATTTAAAATACAGTAAAAATTATACGTGTAAGAAAACATGTTACGAAACCAATAAACATGTAACAACAAAATTATTGTACAACATACGTATACACAATCAAAAAAGAAAAAAAAACTTCGCACAGGTGACCAACAACATACCCAGAGAATCTACTTCAGCACACTTAAACATCTTATGCCAAGTTTTATATACAAAAAAATTTTTAAAAGGGAAAAAACCCTCACCACATACCATTAAAACCTATACATCCACCCCCACCAAAGGTACATTTATAAAGTCGTACATAGTGCTCTGGAAGTAAAATGTACCCCCCCCCCCATCAAATACCTACAAAACAATGACATACAAATAAGAGCGCAGGATACTACTTGCTCTAAGTAAAAATTTATGAAAACTTTGCCTAGCAAACAAGGTAATATACCTATATCTCACACGGGTGAAAATCCACCCAAGACTTCTTCATACACTAATACCCTATACCAGTATTAATACATAATATACACCGCTACTTGAACTCAATGCACACCTGATCCAACAAAGTCATCTGAAATTGCGTTTTTTACACAAAATCAATATACATTTTTATATTACCTTACATATACTCTTATATGTGACTTTAAACAATTTAAAATAGCAAAGGGAAAACAACAGCGTGTACTTAAAATATTTAACACTACCCTACACATACATGTCACCACATGTACTATATAATCTTAACCGGGCCGCTGAAACATTATATGTAGGCCTTATGTACAAAAATACAATCCGCATAATATAAAACTGTACCACTTACTCATTACAGCTTTTGTAAACTTCGAACCTTCTGGGAAAACAGAAAATTTTTGTCTTACGAATGCATCCAACAAGAAGGGGAAAACCCCCGGGCTTTGTATCACAGCATATTCGATACAGTCATATGGCATACCTTAGTAAACACCATTTATATATGCTTTCTATAACATTTTGAAGGCACTCTCACAAAAACGAACAGTCCCTTCTCACAAAACACAAAAACTTAAAATTCTACCTTTTTATTCACCTTGTATACACACAATGATGTAGTGCTCCAATACTTACGTACATATACTATCCAAAATCTTCACAACATAAAGGGAACACATTGTAAAAACACCACCCACACCACACTCACTACTCAGAAAAGATAAATTATCGGCAAACCAGTCACACACTTTAAAAGCCACCACCATCCCGCCAAGAAATAGCCCGTCGCTCCCCATTACATTTAAACCCCGTAAACCTTTTAATTTAAAACTCCGGTATCCCTCAGTAAAGCTGTCTCCCCCCTTCCCCCCCTAAACATCCCTATTGCGACACTTAGTTCATAAATGGTGGCCGCTAACATTTTTATTTTTTTCATCCACACCCCCCTCCCCACACCCCCTCCCCACACCCCCCTCCCTCACACCCACCTCCCCACACCCACCCCCCCTCACACCCCCTCCCTCACACCCACCCCCCCACACCCCCTCCCCACCCCCACCCCCCTACACCCACCTCCCCACACCCACTTCCCCATGGCCCAAGACGTTTAAAAAAAATCAGTACCACTACCACCACTTCACCACCATCTGACTCATCCCACCTTATTAAATTAACACCCAAACCCCTGTAACCCTTCCCCCCCCACAACCCCAACTACCCACGAAACCCAAAACCCTACACTTCAAAAAATAAAAAAATACACCGATGAAAAAAATTTGGGAACATCCACACGCTTTCACCCCCACCCTCCCTTAGCCCCTTTTAAAATAACACAACACCAGACGGAAAGTTTCCCATGTAAAACCTAAACTTTACCCCCCTTTACCTGGTTTTAATACCAATTGCCGTAAACTTTTCCCAGAAATTCCCCCCGCTACAGGGGTATGCCCCCTCAACTCCGCCCCCCACAGCCCCCCCCCCACCCTCTCAAGAATCCTAAATTTTAAAGGGCGCTTCGGACCCCCCCCGTCATTAAAACCCCTCAAAGGCCCCCCAATCATTAAACCCTTCCCCCCCCACCTCGTTGCTATCCATACCAGTTTTCTGCCCCCTTTCCTCGCCCCCCCCTCCCCCCAAATACCCGCGTTTAGTACACACTCATCTACGTTTTTCAAAATGTATAACCCCACCCCCCGTGGCTAACGGGAACGCACCCCCCCCCTACTTACCCATCACAACCCGACCCTAATAAATCGGAAACCCATGTTGAAACCCGTTGACCCTCGCCCCCCTCAGGGGGTATAGCCACCACGTGCCATATCTTATAAAAAACAGCCTTTCGTCACAATGCCCCTCTGAGCAAGTTAGCTGCCCCCCTCCTCAAACCCCCCATTTTCATTTTTTTTTTTTTTTTATTTTTTTTAAAACAACACAATAATTAATAAATAAAAGAACACATTATCAGTTCTTATAAAAATTATAAATCCCATTGTCATAACATTACATCCAATTAACTATTTTAAATAAGAACACAAGAAAAACATAACAATATTCATCATTTTATTAAAACCCAAGGGAAAAACCCAAAACCCTACAACTGCATTATTTTTTTCCACTTTGTTATTTATATTTTTAACCAAATAACCTTCAAACCCCTTTACAAACTACATTCCAGTGCCGCACAGCTGACACTTCTACCCCCCCCCCGTATGACAGTTCCCCCTTCTAAAAAAATACATTAATTTCCCCAAAGAATGGCCATGAAAACAATTTCTATAAAATAAACCAACCCCGCAACTTCCAAACAAAAAAGTCAGGGGCATTATAAGACATGTAGGAAAGTCCTGCAGTCATATGTTACCCAAAAAAAGATGATACACACGGGTGTGCACTTTTTCATAAGAACCAACAAAAACAACAAAAAAATAAAAAGCTAAATGCTTTTCTGCAAATAAACTAAATATTACAATGATATAGAACAACCAAGACATTGGTTCCCCCAAACACCCTACTATACACAAAGTTAATGTTACGATTTAAACAAAAAATAATAGGGCCTCCATACAAAATAAGGGGGAAAAAAAAACCCCCTCAAATACTTATATATTTTCGAATATGCAAATGTACATATTCAATACAATAATAAAAAAAAAGAGGTGTAGACAAGGCAAATCTTCTCAGATTAAAAAAAATAAACAAACTCACATTTTACTATAAATATAAACCTCCTATAAAAAATGATTCTTTTAAAAAAATAAGGGAAAAAAACCCAAAATCACATAAATTTTTGACCTGTATTTTACAAAAAAACTAAGGTCATCGCTTCTCGGCTTTTCCCAACAAGATCAAAAGTGTAGTATTGTTCTTTTTCAGCGTGATACGATATGATCCCCATGTGGGGGTCTTCGATATTTTAAAATGATTTTTGGATCATGGCAAAGGCTAGGGGGTTTCTCCACCTTTGCTGCGGTCAGCCGGGTATTGATTTTCTCCGGGGTTGTCCCCCTCCCTAGGGTTTTTTTTTTTTTTCATCCATTATCCCTCATTCGCGCCGACCCCGGTCGGTGAGGTTTTGCGCTGCACCCCCTCTGCTGTTCAGGGAGCACCCTTTTATCAACATGGGGCGAGGGTGAGGGGGCGCGAAATCCATTGGTATTGAGCTGCTTGTGGGGCGATTTCACCCTCTTTAGTGCAATCTTACTCCCCACAATCATTGGGGACCTATGGAACCCAGGACGATGAGTTATGGGTACCCCGAATGGGGCTTTTTAGAATCTTTGTCAAACGATTCCACTCCGGGGTAGGGCTTTGGTGAAAGGGTTTCCAAGACGGAGTTTGACGCTACTCCCGCTGTTAAGGTGCGTTTTACGACGTTCTCGCCATTTAGTGGGTTTAAAAACGAATGTCCCTTTGAGGGAGATGGCTGACATAAAGGGGTGTTTTTTGAGACATATGGAACCGTACATTGGCACAAAAGGGCAAGTGGACGGCAGGTGCTTACATGGGGCGTCCGGGGGGACCCTTTTCCCTAAAATGATCTAGACTCCCTACCGTCTTACGCGTTTGGAGGACTTTTAGGGCCAATTTTGGGTTTGTATGCCGGACAAGGGCGTAGTGCAGAATTGTGGGGCTACGACCAAAAGGGGGGCAGAGTGCTAAGCTGAGGAGGGCGCCCCGCAAACTGGTAAGCACCAGTTACCCGTGAAACTGTTGAAGCCCCTGCGCAAGCAAAGGGCCCGGGCGCTTGTGGATGAAAGGTGGAGGATTCCCAAAAAGAGAATGCTTTTGGGAAGTGTGAGTAAAAGGGCTTTTACTACACAAAAGGGCAAGCAGAATGCAAATGCGGAGGGGGTGCGGCTCAGAGGAAGAGCTTTAGGGGGTGTTTAAAGGGCATTACCCGCCGCAAGGATGTTGTTCCCAGTGGTGAGAGCACGGCGGTGCCTGTAGGGAATGTAAGGAAAAAAACAAGCAGGGTTGACGGGCCCCAAAATTAGAAGGGAGTTGTGCCTTTGGCGTGGAAGGGGGGCGTGGTGGAGGTTGGGGTTTTCATTGGGGGGAACCTCAGAAAAAAAAAACATGGATGTAGAGGGCATCCGAGGAAGAGAGCGGCGGCGTCAGATCAATGGTCCGACGCCGGCCAGAGGCTGGGGGGAAGGAAGAGCAACGTCGAAGCAGTCCACGAAAAGGCATCGCAAAAAAGGGGGGGGGGTTGATGGGTGAACCCTTGTGCTGGCTCTGGGGCAGGGGCCCTGGGATGAATGAAGAGAGGGGGAAAGGGGTTTGGAACATAAAAGGGGCCTTAGTGATGACTGTGAACGTAAAGGACTGTGTAATGTGTGAAGAAGGAAGGTTTCGAATGTTCTGTATAAATACGGGGGATGTATGTTCCGCAAGAAAACAATTTCAAGGGGGGAAAGTGTCGGGGTGGGGGGGTTTTCAGGTCATGACCTCCCATCTCACTCGAAGGGGGTGTGGGTATTTGATCGGGAGGCAACCCCTTTTGTGTTGCAAAAAGTGGGGGGGGGGGGGGGGAAAGAGTTTTTGCGCGGGGATGGGGGTGGATGGGACAGGGGGGTTCTTTTGTTTTTTATGCACCAGGGGAAAAATGATGTAGGGAAAAAGGGGTTTTTGATGTGAAGAACAGTTTCTTCTTACGGGGTTTCCCCTCAGGGGCCCCGTCGTTGGTGGCGACGGGAACTGCGTTATTAGGGGCTGAGGGGGAACCCAAAAAAGGGGCGGGACGTGTCAGCGGCCTTGCCGATCCCTTTTTAGGGTATTATTTTCGGGATGCGGTTTGGAGGGGGGCGTGGGGGGTAGAGCACACTTTTTTAAGGGGGTTTTCCTGCTAGGTTGGATAGGCTGTTATATCTCAAGGGGTTGGGGTTACATTTTCCTACAAAGAATAGCTTTTTTCGGATCATGGGCGGGAGAGAGGGTGGGGTGGGGGTCACAGAAAGGGATATCAGGGGAAAAGAAATTAAAAACAAGTTTTAGGGGGTGAGGGGGGGGATAGAGGGATTTGCAAAACCCGTGGGAGGGTTAGTGCAAGGGGTAGAAAGGGGGAGAAAGGGGGGTGATGTGGGGGGATGGTGTGGCTAAAGAACGGATTAAGCACTATTTCATAAAGGAAGGGAAACTTCAAATTCCCTTTAAAATTGGGGTTGCTAACATTTGGAGGGTAGATTACGGGTTCAAGCGAGGGGGGGGGGTGGGGGGCCTTTTCCAATGGACGAAATTATGGCAATTAAAAAGGGGGCGCTTTAGGTCAGGGTGAAGGTTTCCAAGCGGTGAGGGCAGGGGGGGGGGAAGAGGTGTTATGGGGCGATAACCTTCATCGTGCGTATTGCGAGGAGAAAAAAAGACAGCAGGCAAATGATATTCCCGGGTTTGGGGGGGTTCTGAAAACGATAGGGGGGTACAGGGAGGGCAGGTCATCAAACACGGGAAAGGATGGGGGGCTTTGCTGACAAGTGGTAAGAATACTGGGAAGAAAGGGGTAGAGGATGGGGTTTTTGAACGGGGGGGAGTGGGATGTCAGTTGCGTAACAGGTAGGGAACAAATGGGGGGGGGGAAAAATGAGGGGGAAATGGAGGGCTTTTAAAATGGAAAAAGCGAAAGGGCAAAGCACCGGAAATTTATGGACTTCCGGCGAGTTTTATCAGCAGCATGGGGTTATTGAGGGATTTTCTGGTTGGTTATTAAATTGCATAAGGAAGAGGTTTTTTTTTTTATATTTTTTTTTAGAACATGGGCAAATACAATAATGTATAAAAGTATAAATTTAAAAACCACACTAGTATTAAAAACCCTAGTACACAATCCTTACATTTTTAAAAAACACCTGATAAAGGCCCTGTTTCAACCCTATACATAACCCCCAACCATATACAAAACAATTTACATAACCACAACCATATACATAAACCCATTACAAAAATCAACCACAACCATATACATAACCCACAACCAAATACATAACCTACAAACCCTCCCTTTTACAATCATTATTGCCAGAGCAGACACAGCTGACACATCTACCCCCCCCCGTATTACGTCGCCCGTTCGTAAATACATACATTAATTTATCCAAAATGAAGGTCATACACTGACCTCATCAAAACCTTAATGATTGTTTACCCTAAGAGGTTGGTAGCATGAACAAGACAACATAAAATTTACAGAACTAAAGACAGTTATGAAACATTAACACTCCTTTACACCTACACGGTAATAATTAGAAGATAATACACCACCAATATAATATCAAATATTTAAGTTAACCATGAATTAAAACTTTTCAAAACATTGCATATCGTGAACACACTCAAAAATGGCAAAGATAAAAATTACACCTAATCAACATGTCGGTACAATACTAGCTATGTACACAATTTAAAGAACCCAAGATTACAACCATGAAAAAGTAAATATCCAAATGGTCTATATGATTTAGTAAGTTCCACCTAAACTCCTTATAACATCTATCACGCCACATATACACTTAACAAAACGTGTCACACCTTCCACAAGACTTCATTTTAAGAGTAATTCAAGATCTCATGCCACAATCAACGCACAACCATACACACACAGACGTAACGGCACCATTCATAATAAACATACAACTCACTCCCTAAAACCCGCGCTCCTACCCTAAAGTCTCTAACATACCGTATGGTGCTAACACGGGGGAGTCACCCCCAGTTCCTACCCCCCCCCGCAGTTGCAGCAACATTTGAACAGTAAGACATCGATACTTTGGCCGGAAAACTATTATCCCAACTTCTACCCAATAACGAGTTTATTTCTGCAATACGTTCTGTAGATACCTGCCGCAATATGCCCTGATCCTACCTGACCCCCCGGTTTCCCGCATACCCACGAGATATAGAGGAAATCAGCCACCACGTACATTAATGGCATCATCGTACCACTCTTGATACTACTCCGCTAACATTTCCAATGTTAGGCCCGAAGGTAGAAATACTTTCCCCCACAAAGAAAATCTAAGGACCCCCGCCCCAACCCACGAACTAACTTTGTCCAAGGTATCACAAAAGTAGACAGCATGAAAAGCTGTTCTTTTCAAGGACCGCCACGCAAGCAATCCGCCACCCTTAACAAACCCATCCTAATTAAGACCGATTTGATGCTAAAAATACCCCATGACAAATCTGTTACACCAATTCACGAACCCTTGTGCCAACTTAGTTTACAAAATCCTTCCATATTTCCCCCAATTATACAGCGGAAAAACAGACAATCCCCTTACAATTTCCCTACGACAACATATGCAGACCATTCGCCCCACCTATCCGTTTCGCATTTCTCAACTTTAACAACAACGCAGCATGTCCTCACACTCTATTAATCCCCTGCCGCTCCACCATTTACGCAGTTCGATTCATGAACCCGACCCACCCGGATGCCCCTTTCACCGCCCGCCCTAAGAACCGCTGCTTTACATCAGAGGGGCCTTCACCCGTGGCCCCAAAGCCAAGAGACATAAACCCCCACGCGAACATGTACATGACAACCTCCCGACTTAACCAAGCCCTCCCGAAACCCCAAACATAACGAAAGACCCTTCTCTGCAGATCCTGAATATCCGTATTCTCTTAAAGGGTACAACCGCGTCCACACCCCATACTTTACACTATAAACCAGTGTATTAACCACTACTGTCCTCTGTTGCAGAACGAGACAATCCCCAGCTCTTAACCCCCGAAGTCGATCTAAAGCCTTGTTAACCACCAATTCAGAGTTTACCCTTTCGGCTCTCCCTCTCCTCTGCCATGTACAAAACACGATGCACTTATTCTAAGTTGCCACCACACAGGACCACCCATACCTTTCGCCCAACCTCCCCCCCACCATGTAACCCACCTCCAATAATTTCGATTTTGCCTGTTAACGCACAATGCCTGACTCGCCCCAAAAACCTCAACAATCCCTCCCACGATCTGCACATCCTCCTCCCCTTTTCAAACAGAATTTGTGGTATCATCT